GGTCTTAAAGTCCTGTAGTATTGTTTTTATGAAGTTGGGTGCACCAGAGTTTGGTGAATATATTCATGTTCATGATTGTAACATCTTGGTTTGCTGTTCCTTTGATCAGAATGAAGTGGCCCTATTTATGTCTTTTGATTAGTTTTAAAGTAGATTTTGTCAGATATTAGAATTGCAACATCTGCTTTTTTTCTTAGTACCATTCGCTTGGTATATTTTTTTCTATCCTTTCACCTTTTAGTGCCTGATTGCTACTCAATGAGGAACAGCTGATATTCCTAAAACAAAGACCTCTAGATAGGCTGTCTAGATTCAATGGATGGACAAGTAGTGGGGAACAGCTAGGGGTGCCGACAATGCAGTGGACAGTAGCACAGATGACAGAGTACAAGGGCTCTAGTGGTGGGGGGAGGCTATGGGAGGGGGCCATCTGGGAAGTGCGTGTATAGATGAATAAGATGGTTTGGGACTTTCTGTGTAATATACACACACACAAAAAAAGAAAATGTATTATATTTGAGGAGGAAATACAAAAATTTACATCATGTTGATAGTAAAGGTAACAAACATTACCATTGAAATCTACCAGATGACTTTATAGACATACGCAGTTGCCAAGGATCTGAGTGCAACCGATCATGACTAGTAATAATCAGATACATACAGATTAGGGATGCATGCGCCAACATCTGAGTAGTAGTAGCAAAAACAAAGAGTCTTTCTGTAAGAAACTGTATTTTAAAATGAAATGGAGATCTGTTTTAAAGGTTAAAAACTCATTCAATTTTATGTCTTACAGGGTTTATACTGAGTTCAATATTGTATTAACTGTATTCAAACCTAAAAAATTTTTTTCTTTTCTTTTATTTTGTGGTCTTTTTGAGACAGGGTCTCCCTGTAGCCCCAGCTGTCCTGGAACTCAGTATGTGGACCAGGCTGGCCTCATAAAGAGTTTTCCTTAGCACCAATCTCCACATTCCTTCTTTCAGTCACATAATAACTGCTTGTGGTTGGCTCTCCTATTCCCCAGACTAGCACCAGTGGATGTGGATCTTGAAATATTCAGATACACACAAAAATATGTCTCAGCCTTTGGAATGGCCAAGGTTTCACTATACAGCATTTTGGGGTTTTGAGGCAGGGTCTCCTGGAGCCTGAGCTGGCCTTGAACTCCTGATCCTCCTGCCTCACATGTACCACCACACCTGGCTCTTACTATTTATATTTAAATTGAAATAGAATTTGTCTAAACCTAATTGATTTTTTTTTCTAAAGCCATGTAATGAGTTTATATTGATTAAATAGTAGAGCCATACCTCAGAGCTCAACTGTCTCTAACCCTGATCACCCTGGTGTGTGTCATTTTTTTAGATTTCTTTTTTAAGTTGTAAACATTTGCCGGCTACATTGTGGTATCAACATGTATATAATGTTTAGTGATCAAACCAGCATAAGAAATATTTCTCTCCCTTTAAACATTTATCTCTGTGTTTCTTCAAGTCCTCTCCTTTAAATCTTTTTAAAATACATAGGACGCGTGGTGGCGCACACCTGTAGTCCCAGCACTTGGGAGGCAGAGGCAGGCAGATCTCTGTGAGTTCAAGGCCAGCCTGGTCTACATAGTGAGTTCCAGGACAGCTGGGGCTACAGGGAGA